ATATATATATATATATAGAAGAGAAATATTAATTAAAAAAAACAAGGGGAAAATATTTTTAAGGAGGAGAACAAGAAAAATTATTAATAAACAAAATGTTTTTAAACATATTTAAAAATTTTAAAAAAATCAAAAAAAACCCGGAAAACAAAATAAGGAAAGGATATAATCTCGTTGTTGTCAGCTCACACGATTATATCCACGAAAAAGAGTACTTTCTAATATTGTATTAATATTACCAAAGCAAAATATATCAATACAATAGTGAGAGGAGCAGCTAAGAAAATTGAAACGAAAATAAAACATATTGCGCAAAAAATACAAAATAAAACATATCGAGCAAAAAATACAAAATAAAAGTTCAAGAAAAATACAGAATAAAACACAAAATGTAACATATAAGGCGATTAGTGAATTCAAATGTCCTTCGGCACTTGCAAAAATGATTTAAAATATTTTTGTAACAAGTTTGCCGAATTACAAAATATGGAAATAAAAGCATAAATACAGGAAAGTGGGGTGCATTTTATGGCGCGTTCTGGTTACAGTACATTTGGTTTGTCAGTTACCTCTGATTGGCCTGAAACTATATGAGTGCAAGATAAGTTTCGGACTAATTCAGTGCTTAAAAACAGAACAATTAACATTGTTTCAATTATTTAGTAGCATTATATTTGCTTGGATACCGAACCGCACAAATCTTAAGAAAATAATCGAGAAAACAGGGAATTATATATACAAAAAATGCAAAGTAAAACATAAAAATTCCTTTATTTAGCATGTTTCAATGAAACTTCATATTAATCATTTTTTTAAGAACTCCATGTCCCTTGTAAAATATTTATTCTAATGCCTGAACTTTGGCCAGTTCATTTTGAATACATTTATTTACAGCATTGTCTCGACGGTTGTTGAATTGGCTTCGTATTTCTTCATTGCTTAAATATGATGATTGATGAGATTTTTTTCCACGAACACCCAAAAATCCGGGAACAGGCTCTTTAATTTTACTTTTTTCTGACTTTTTGCCTCGAACTCCGACAAACCCCGGAGGCAATTGATCGAATCTGCGAGCATGTGCGCGCTTTGGTCCAGCTTCTCTGATGCGTACAAGTGAATCATCAAAATCTTTTGGACGTAGCATATTTTGGATCAGCATTTGTCGTAGCGCAGAGAGAGAATCTTTTGAAATCTGAAACAGGTTAAAGTTATTCAGCAATTATATCATCTATATATAGCTTTGCAAAATATTTTAAGACAATAAAGAGAATCTTTTGAAATCTGAAACAAGCTAAAGTTATTCAGCAATTACAGCATATATATATAGCTTTGCAAAATATTTTAAGATAATAAAGAGAATCTTTTGAAATCTGAAACAAGTTAAAGTTATTCAGCAGTTACATCATCTATATATAGCTTTGCAAAATATGTTAAGATAATAAAGATAATCTTTTGAAATCTGAAACAAGTTAAAGTTATTCAGCAATTACATGATGTATATATAGCTTTGCAAAATATTTTAATAAAGCAATGTTTTGATGCAGACTAAGCTACAAAGTCTATAGTTTAGCTTTTGAGGGTGATCCATAATGATGAATGGTACTTAGGGATTATCCCGCCGATCTGTTAAAGCACAGTGGGCCAGCATCCAAGGTTTCGTGGCCAAAATTAGTATTTCGATAAAATTTTTTTCAATATTTGGGGGTTTTTATGTGCAGGTAAATTGAATTCATAGTTGAAATTTTGAAATACACTAAAAATACCCACAAAATCAAAATGGCGGCAAGAATATGGCGAGCAGAAAAAACGTTTAAATAATTAAATAGTGCGCTTAAATAATTAAATATAGCAATGAAAATATAATAATTTTCGTAATTTTATATTAAAAATGAAAAGCAAATTATATTTCCGAAGTAATATTACAAAATAACGCGAAAACATGAAAAAAAAAGTCAAAACATGAAAAGTCCACCTTTGCAATACGGGCAAAATGGGCAGGTTTTCGCGAAAGAAGAAACATCAAAGAAGAAAACAAAAAAAATTTAAGCTAATTATTACCTCGTGGAACTTTTTGGAACTAAGTTTTGAAAGTCATTCAAACATTGTAAAATGTCAAATTATAAGATATAAACTATAAGTTTGTCAAGAATATTAACTAATCCAACAAATTGAAAAATTGTATTATAATTTCAGACTAATTCCTCTGATAAAAATGTAACATTAAGGGGAAATTCTTATATATATTTCTGAAATAAGGATTTATAAGTTACATTTAAAAAAAAAAAATTTAACAAATTTTTCATTACATTGTACTCTCGTCGGTCCAAAAAGTAAATTATAATGTTTGGAATGATTATGAATACTTAATTTAGGCTATATTAAAACTACCTACGCATATTTTAGTTGAAAATTTAATTTTGGACTCTTTTAAAAAATTTTTTTTGTTTACTTTATATTTATAATTTTCAGATACCGGTATACCAAAAATGGAATTCAAATTTTAATTAAGATAGTTAAAAGAATAAAATAGTGTCAAACCCATTCGGAAACTTTAAAAACAAATTTTCATATATGTCAAACATATTTGGTAGAACATAAATTATTTGCCAGTTTAATTATAAAATGGCGAACTCATAAAAAAATATTGTTGCTAGTTCTCAAAAAGTTATATTAATACCTTTTATGTCAGTTTCACTACAGAGACAAATAAAGCTGACAACAGTATTTTTAACCTGTGTTTGTTTTAATTTCAGACACGTTAAATAAGAAATATTTGCAAGTCTGCAATGTCAATTTTTTCTAACTCAGAATGCTTTACAAACAAAAAAGTGAAATACAAAATGTATGAATAAAGTGGGTGAAAAGATTTTCACTTTTTCCGACTTATTTTTATAGAGTACTTTTAAAAACAGCACACTCTGAAAATTTAAATCTGAATTAGAATTCTAAAAAAAATCAATATTTAAATATAAGTAAAGTATACATTTATTGGAACTATATTAATATTTTCTTTAATTTATTCCAAGAATTAATAGATTTGATATTTAAATTTCCAAGATAGTACAGTTTTTAAATAAAAACTTTTTAACGTTACCATTTCATAAGACTACATACGCGTACTAGTGCGTACAACCATGGATCTTTCTTTAGAAAATATAAAAATAAAAGTTACTTATACTTTGCATCAGGAGACATGTTTAATTACTGAATATGATTTTAAAAATAATATAAATAATAAGTTGTTTGAGATAAATTTGTTCATACAAATGATTTACCTCTGAATCTCCAAATTCCACATTGTCGGGCATCAAAGAAGCAAAACTGAGAGAAATGATAATAGGTACTAAAATAAGATATGGCCAGCCTCTCATCGACACTAAAAAATATTTATGAAAATACATATATAATACTATACATAATACTATGGTTATTTACATATTTAACACGAACATGTATTACAATAGATAAGTAGTATAAAGAATTAAATTTATAACATACATTGTTGAAATTTTGGTGCAATTTGAATAATCAGCAATTTTAGTATGATTCCAATTAAACCATATTTAAGTGCAAATAACTCAACCTAAACAAGGCCTAAGAAAAGAGAATGACAAGAATGTTAAATAGCATATGCTCCATTTGAATTTTGAAACATTAAAAACTTAAGATTGACGGAATAATTTGAACCATTATATTGTGCAAATGGTCAGCAATTTTAGTATGATTCCAATTGAACTACATTTAAGTGCAAATAACTCAACCTAAACAAGGCCTAAGAAAAGAGAATGACAAAAATGCTAAATAGCATATACTCCATTTGAATTTTAGAGCATTAAGAACTTACTATTGACAGAATAATTTGAACCATTATATTGTGCAAATGGTTAGCAATTTTAGTATGATTCCAATTGAACCAACTCAACCTAAACAAGGCCTAAGAAAAGAGAGGGGCAAAAATGTTAAATAGCATATACTAACATACTCCATTTGTATTTTGAAACATTTAAAACTTAAAATTGACAGAATAATTAACGTGGTTAAAATATTTTCTTCTAACTTCTTAAAATGTTTATAAACTTTCCTATGGAGGATTAAAAAGACCAAAGTTATCAGTACATATTGCAGAATTCTTACAGATCTTAGTTTTAGCACACTTTCTTCCTTCCTCAAAGGCATGGCAGCACGGTGGCCATCCATACAAATTTAGATCAAACTGCCCTAACTTTTGTTTTGGATTAACATGAACCATAAAAACTTGGCTTTTCTTTATTGAAGGGAATGGAGGACGTTCAGGTCCCAAAAGAAAAAAATTGCATCGTAAAAATTAAGGTACTATATGATAATGATATTTCTCGGAGGAAAATTATAGTTCTGGTAATAAAAACGAAAATATCCGACATTCAAACTATTTATTTGCTAATTTTTCCACTTATATATTTGTAGTTAACCTAAAATTCAAATTTTCAAAATCATATTTCTTATTACCACACATTTAGTAAAAAATACAAAACTGAAAACTAAATTTAACCGAACAAATGGTTTTTATCTCACTCTTTAAGGTTGATAAAATTAACACATTTGTCAGACTTTCATATTATAAAACCATATTTTATTGTTAATTTTACCAAAATCATTACTATAGCGCTTTGGTAAAAGTTACCCAGATATTTGGTGTTTCCATAGAGCCAGAAACACGGTAAATTTTACATATTCTGGTAGTTTTGAAAATACTTTTTTTCCTCGGTGCAGACACTCCAACCATCTGAGTCTAGGACAACCTCTTTTTCTAGTTCCTGTTGGTATGGTTAAGAAAATTTTTTCGTGGTGCTGGCATCAAGCATTTTGTTTATGTGGTCAACTCATTTCAATTTTTAGATGCCAACCATACCAGATTCAATTTTGAACCAAACTTCTAACTTCAATTTTTTTCAATTCATAATTTCTTGCGGCTAACGAGCTCTTCTTCATCTAACATCAACTTCAGTGATAGAAAAATTGAAAGCAAATATTTCATTACTGTTCGCAGTTATTAAACTGTTTGAAAATAGAAAGATTATTTTAATGGTTAAAAATTTATGCCATTGTGTATTTATTAAGTTGTTCTTCTTTATTTTTTTACATTAAATTTTAGTAACTATCGTAATTGTATTAAAAGAGTATTTTCTATATATAATTGGCAATTTTATTTTCTGTGATTTACTTTAAAAAAATGAAATTTTAGAAAAATTGGTGGAGAAAATTAGGAAGGTCAAATAATCACTGAGAGCCGGCTGGCCCCTACGATGGTAAAGGAGCTGACTTGAAATTAAAAATGGTCGTGGGTTCGAATCCCGGGTAAGGAAATGGATATTCTTTCCTTCTCTTCTCTGTATCGTCACTCTGATAGAAATGTTGGCCCACCTAATATGGAACACCTGAGAGAGTGCCCAACAAATCTGCCTTGTAAATGCTTGAATTGAAGATATGTTAACACAGGTGGGCATTAGAAAAAAATTGATTACAAGTAATCATAATTACTTGTAGTCATGATTACTGCCACCTGAATGACTGAAGTGAAAAACTGGGGAGGGGGGATTGGGGGAAAAATAATTACTATAAATAAAGGAAAATGTTGGGAGGACTTCACTGCCAAGAAAATATATGCGCAAAATGAGAATAAAAGCAAGTTTTAAAGAAAGTATTGCTCATTTTGTTCTTAAGCATCATATCTTCATCAAATGAAATTCCAATGCCTATTTTATATATTTAAAAAAAAAATGAATACTTGAAAACTGTCCGATTTTACCCATTTATTCTTTACAACATTGTCTCTTGTGCCGAGGACAGTTTTATCTTAAAAATTCAGATCAGTACTTTTGAAATATAAAGGAGTATCTAGTACACGTATAAGGAGAATTATTTTGAGTTTCCCCTCTTAGTCCCCTTGCCGTCAGGTTAACCGTGGGAGACTCTCGTGATCTTCCTCTCCGTGTAACGCAAATGCTGGTCAGTTCCATCAAAAAGTCCTCGACGAAGGCAAATATCTCCCAATACTCGATCCAGGAGTTCCGTTGTCTCCTGGATTGGGTTCAAAATTACAAGGCTACCGAGTTGAACATTAGCAGTCGTAAACCCATAAAATTGGGTCGGCTGTTCAACGACGGATATAAAATAAAATAAAAAGTTTCCCCTATTGAGTCGTGGTGGCTCAGGGGATAGAGAGTTCGCCTTCCAATGAGGTGAACCTGTTTCAAATCCCGGCAATAGCTGGTTGATTAAAATTCCACTCCCGTCTCGCACCGACCACAGCGCTGACGTAAAATACACTCAGTGGTTGACGGATCTTTGATTAGATTCTCCTTGCCATCAAGCTAGCTGTGACAGGTTTTCGTGGTTTTTCTCTCCATGTAACGCAAATGCGGGTTAGTCCCATCAAAAAGTCCTCCACGAAGGCAAATCTCTGTCAATACTTTATCCAGGAGTTCCCTTGTCTTCTGGATTAGGTTCAAAATTGCAAGGCTATGGAGTTGAGTATTAGTAGTCATAAACCCAAAAATTGGGTTGGCTGTTCAACGACGGTTATAAAATGATAAAATAGAATAAAATGAAAAAAATTTCCTCTATTAGAAACGGGTATCCTCTCATCAATAATCGCGGAATGAGTTTGTCACCACTTTTAATTTTTATAAAAGTATTACTCTAAATAGGACCTACTTTTTAAGGACAACTCATCGTAGCTTATGTAACATGAAAATAAGAGGAAAAAAGTGATGAGCAAACGCAAACCCCAACGTTAACAAACAAAAGAAAGCGTAGGTTGAGTTACTTGGCATAATTTCATGACACTTGCAAAAATAAACCATTTACTTTATCGGTATGAATAATATTTAAATTTAACGTATATGAGATTTATTTTAAGAGTTTTTAATTTTTTCTATTGAAAAATCATTTACTTTTTTTCATCCTATTTAGTCAAATTTACGAAACAACAGCTGACTTCAAAACCAATTCGAAATTGATAAGGCGTTGAATTTATTTGCGTTTTAGATGTAGAACGCAAAAACATTTCCTATCAAGAAATTAAGTTTTTGAGGAATGTCTACAACTTTGCTAATTGGAAAGACAATTGAAATTACTAAAAACCAATGTGATATTATTAAATAAAATGTATTACTATGAATAAATAAATTTCAATCCGAAATTCAACAACTACTTAATGTTACAATTGGATTCAAATAAAATGTTGTTAAGTCTATCAAAGAAGAGAAAATGTATGAAATAAAGTGTACTAGGTATTTTTAGGGATTATATAAATTCTTCGTTGGTTTACATCTTCAAATTTATAAATTTTCAAATTTAAATATTCCTATCTTAAAATAATCTTAAAGCAGTAATACAGCAGATTTTTTTTTTGTTTTTTTAAAAAAATCAGTTAAATAGAAACTTTAGTTTTGAAATTTCGAATTATAAATTACTCTTATTGATTATGAAGGTTTATTGCTGCTGTAAAACAATAAATTTGTTACAACAAAAATCTACATTATAACATATTATAAATAATTTTACGGCTTACTCTCGGATACAAAAATAAAGGAATGATATTTTTTGTAAGTTTTAAAATGGTTTCAGGAACTTAGTTAAACCGGATAAACTGTGCTGTAACTTCGCAATCTCTAGCTGCGGAACTCGGTGACCCTCAATTAAAAATTGCACAGAAAAAAGACTCTGCTAAAATTACCGTATAGTATGTTAATCAGATTTTTATTTAAAAATCAAGCATAATTGTGTTTAAAAAAAAAATTTCAGTATTTAAACCATTCGTTTGCTGTTTTTATCGTTAATATGATAACGGTTTATCAGAAATTCTGATTATCAATATTATAATTCTTATTATCATACATTTAATAAACAATACAGAACTGAAAAATAAATGTAACCGAATAAATGATTTTTTTTGCCATGCTCTTAAAGTATCATGATAAAATTACCTAACTTTACCACATTTGACAAATTTTATCTCATGTTATAAAACCATATTTTCTTGTTAATTTTACCAAAATCATTACCAAAGCTCTTCGGTAAAAATTACCAAGCTTTTTGGTGCTCCTAGATAATACCCAGACACGGGTAAATTTTATCATATTCTAGTAGTTCTAACCATACTTTTTTTTCTCAGACTAACGAAAAAATTTTATCCTATAGAATAAATGCTGCCATCCTTTTTCTAAAATCCATATTGCATTTTAACGTACTGCCATTAAATCAAGGAATATTGATAAATAAAATTATAATCTAAACTATAAGATTTATAAGTCAAAGCACTATAGTGTTAAAATAATTTATTTTAACATATTAAATATCAGAGGATTTTGAAAACTCGAAATCTCTTAATTTGTAAAATTTTTAAACATCAATTCATTTAAAAGATTTTTTTAATGAAAACGACAGTTTTTCAGTACTTTCAGTACTGACAGTTTTTCAGTACTGCTTTTTTCAGTACTTTCTCTAAGTTATGTGAATCTATATTATGTAGTTTATGGATTCTATGTATAACTATAGAATCCATAAACTACTGCTTTGATTACAATTTTGATTTGGTTACAATTTGCTTTTGATTATAATTTGATTTTTTATATTTATTTTAATTATATTTAATTTTCTTTTAAATTCATAAAGTACGTATGTCCACAGATTGCTTAAAATTTATAAGATGCTCATTATATATGCTGAAAGTAGTTCTACTTAATTTTCTATTTAATGTTCTTTCCATAAAATATATTAATTTCTAAAACTTTTTTAAGGTGACTCTGATAACAATTTAACAAAAAATTGAGAATTGCATAATATATATGCTGAAAATAGTTCTACTTAATTTTCTATTTATGTATGTTCTTACCATAAAATATATTCATATCTAAAACTTTTTTAAGGTGAGGCTGATAACAATTTAACAAAAAATTGGGAATTGCATAATTCAGGATTTACACAACCTTGCCTCAAAAACAATAAAACAATTTATAAAATGTAAAAGTTTTTGGATCAATGGCACTCAGGGTGCTAGTGCTTTTTACTGTAAAATAAATTTTTCCATAATTTTTACAGTACTATTTATCTTAAAATCACTAAATAGCTGTAATTAAAAAAATATTACAGTAAAAAATAAGGTATAAATTTTTACTATAAAAATAGATTTTTCGTATGTTGCACTCAAGGGTTCTTTTTACCGTAATTGATTCGGAACTTTATACAGTGTTGAGAATAATATTATAAGGTACAGATGAATTTTAATTCAATTTTTTTTAATTAAATTTAATGATTCATAGCCCAAAAAAAGAAAGCAATGTAAGAATAAAGTGCTAATCAAAACTATTCCAAACATAATCTAAATCTAATCTAAAATCTAATATTTAGTTGTCTGTATTTAACTTTAAAATGATAAATATATTTAAATTATCAAAATGAACAGTGAAAAAAGATAAAGAGTTTTACATATGCTGATAAACTATCTTAATTAGAAACATTAATAAATTAACTGATTTATTTTTTATGTTCCAATAAGCTTGTTAGGTTTATTGTAGCTTTCAGAATATATTTCTGATCTTAGAATATAATTTATTATAGTTCTCAGAATTTAATTCCAATAAAATTCTCATTGAGAACAAGTTTAAATCCTATACTATAAAAGTTAATTGCGAGTACAAGCAACGATTCTGAGACATTAAAACATACGCAACAAAAGAAATACGCTAAAAATGAAATAACACAGTTTGTTGCAGTAAATGTATACGTTATTCATGTAAGTCATTGGCATTAATTTAAGTGTCAATTTCGGCATTAGTAAGTAATGTCCTCCCCAAAATTAACTTTTTTTGGAGATGTGGAACTCAATCGATCAGCTGATAAATAAAGTTCATTTTTAATTAAAAATTAAAAAAAAGTTTGCTGAATAAATTTGCTAAGAACAAGAGCTCACAAAAGGCTTTTTAGCTTTATTACTACTACTCAGAATATAATTCTCATCTCAGAATATTATGCCTCTCAGACTATAATTCCAATAAAATTCTTATTAAGAAAGCTACCAGTTGAAATTTTATGCTATAAAAGTTAGTTGCAAGGACAAACAACGGTTTTATTACTTAAAAAAAAAAATTAATAAAATAAAATTATGTACCAAAAGGAATACGTTAAAAATGAAATAACACAATTTGTTGCAATAAAAGTTTTCTCATTGTATACACTATTCTTGCAAGCTATTGACAGAAATTTAAGTGGCAATCAAAACATTAATAGTAATGTCAGCCTCAAAATTAATTGTAGATCTCAACCAATCAGCTAAAAAATAAAATTCATTTTCTCTTAAATTCAAAAAACGTTTTTTTTAAAAAAGGGATTTTGAGTAAATTTGCTTAAACACTAACCAAGGGACCTAAAATATAGTATCTGGTGACATATATTTTGTTAAATTTAATATCAAAGCAAAATACTGCGAAGCATCTTTCTATACCATTGTAAGAGGATTGCTAAAATTTCCTCCTGGATCCTAAAAATTTTGTATTTTTCTCCGTGGCTAAAAGTATTTTGGGAATAGACTACTTGAGAAAAATTATTTTTTCTCCATACTGAAAGTAAAATTTTAAAAAATGTTTCGATACTGAAAATAAAAATTTCATAAAATTAAAAATTCTGACTTTAAAATTATTTCAGTTTTAATATTGGCATTTTTCTCATCAGGGTCCTATTACTCTTGGGGACCTAAATTACGGCTCTGAGAATAAGTTAATATAATGTTTCATTGCCTTTTAATATTGAATCACAAAAAAAAAATATCATTTGCTTAGTCAGTGTTAAATTGTTCAACAAAAAAACTTTGCTATTTTATTCCATGCATAAAAATAAAATTCAAACAACTTTACTTACTATTAATATCCTACAAATTTAATCGTGTGCGTTAAATTAATCTCATATAATCAAACTCAAAAATTTTCTCCAGTTGCAGAAGAAGCAACAAACATTAAACTGTGCCTCTTGAAAACTTTATGCGTGTTTATATACTCTTCATTGTTTTTATTTTTACTTTTGCTCGATAATTCCTACCTTAATAAAACGTGAGAAATGCTTCTGCGCAACAAATACCTCGTGAATAAACCATTCCTCTTCAAATTAACCTATTACACATTAGAGCAATTTACTGGCGAATAGTATTGCCATAATAGTCATTACATGTCATTCAAGTGGCTAATTCTAGGCGACTCGATCAAATTAAAGAATACCCACTACCTTTCTATCTTAAAAGAAATAACTCCTTGCCGCACATTAACAAGTGATGGAAATGCTTAAATTTGTCCGAATCATCAATAGATTTGTTTGGAATGTGCTTGAATTATTTGCCCCCCTTTTTTTTACTGTATGCCAGGCAATAAGATTAATTTATTAATTCATTGCATTAATGTCTTGATAAAGACATTACATACTAAACTGTTGAGTGTAAGGATAAAAAATATCCGTTTAATGGTTTTAAATTATTAAGTACTGGGAAATTTGTTTAGTTTGTTCAGAGTATTCTTTTACAAATTATTTTTAAATGTATAAGGATGGGATTCCCAAACTATTTTAAGTTGCGGCACCATTACGAGATATAAAATTGTACACACCTATCATATAATATTTTTCTGCAGTTTAATATTTATTATATACATAAATGTATGCATGTAATATTTATTTAAATGGTGTTTATTTAAATGTGTTTATCCTTTTTAGAGAAACTTAGGTTTACCTTAGAACATTTTTAATCTTAGAGGCACTTAGCCTTGAAAGGAAGACACTTGAACTTTTAGTCGACTATTTTAATTATTCTATTAATCTTATTTTAGTCTTGTTTGTATTTAATGTGATTTTACCATTTGATGTTTTACCTGACCTTACTTTTACATGTTTTTACCTGTATTTTTGACACTTTTATTGTTGGTTAATTTTATTCATTTAGATGTTTTAAGCACTTTTAATTTTTATTCTGTTTTATTTTTATCATCTTTTCGATTTTGAGATTTTTCCAATGTGTATCAATCTTTTTAGTTTTGATTTTACTTTTCTGCAGTTTTGTAGTATTTGGTTCACGTGACAACGGGTGAAACCCTTATCCACAAACTCCTTCGGGGGTAGGTCGGTTACTATTAATCTTATTTAAATGTATGCACATAATATTTATAGTACCCGTGCAAAATGATCAAATGAATGAAAATAGTCAAATATTTCGTGAAATACATATCGTATAAAAGATTTAAAAATAAAAGCAAGAAATATTTTTGAAAGATGTATATAATAATGCACTGAGAAAAAAAGTATAGTCAAAACTACCAGAATATGGTAAAATGTATCGTATTTTTGGCTCTATGGGATCCCCAAAAAGCTCGGTAATTTTTACCGAAGCGCTTTGGTATGATTTTGGTAAAGTTAACAATTAAATATAGTTTATATTATGTAATAAAAATTTGGTAAATGTGGTAAAATTTGGTAATTTTATTATGATAGCTTAGAGCATGGCATAAAAATCCTTTATTTGTTTAAATTTACTTTTCAGTTCATGTCTAAATGTGTGATTATAAGAATTATTTCTTGCAAAAGCCAGAATTTCCAGTTAACTATTGGCATATGAAAGGAAAAATTATCAAATGAATAGTTTAAGTATCATATATTATTGTTCTATTAACCTGAATTATGATTTTTTTACCAAAAATGTCATTGCCATACAGTACGATAATTTTACCAGAATTTTTTTTTTTTCCGTGTACTAAACTTGACTTCCAAATATTATCCTCTGGCTGTGAGGGCAACTTCAAAATCTAAAATAGGAACCTCTCAACCCCTTCTCCAAAATAGGTTTCACCCCCTAGAAGGTGGCTTAGCCCCGGGGTTTAATAAGAGGTGTTAGTTTCGTGTCTTCAGGTAGGTTCTTAAAAATATCAATCAATTTTTATTTTATCAATTTGTCGTACATTTCTTGAGATGCATCCATTTAAAAAAAATTTCATGCCATCCTTCTTTGTTGACTCCAGCCCCAACAATTAACCAAAATGCAACTGACTGTATGCCAAATAGTGGTACTTTTTTTCCAAAAATCCAAATCTTCAATATGAGATGAATACTAACTCTTTAAATGTAGTTTATTCGAAATATTTATGATTTTGAAAATCTTGACGTTGAAAGTGGTTAAAAAATTTTACATTATTGAAATCAGATGGTATAATTACTTAACGCGTGAAAATATGAATATGTCTGAAATAAATGTGAAATGAATATTAACGATTTATAAAGAGTTTATTTGAAATATTTATGATTTTGAGAATCTTGACGTTGAAAGTGGTTAAAAAACTTTACATTACTGAAATATTAACAATGATGCTTCAGATGGTATAATTACTTAACGAGTGAAAACATAAATATGTCTGAAATAAATGTGAAATGAATACTAACGATTTATGAAGAGTTTATTTGCAAAATTTATGATTTTGATAATCTTGACATTGAAAGTGGTTAAAAAACTTTACATTACTGAAATATTAAAAATGATGCTTCAGATGGTATAATTACTTAACGCGTGAAAATATGAATATGTCTGAAAGAAATGTGAAATGAATACTAACGATTTATGAAGAGTTTATTTGAAATATTTATGATTTTGAGAATCTTGACGTTGAAAGTGGTTAAAACACTTTACATTACTGAAATATTAACAATGATGCTTCAGATGGTATAATTACTTAAAGCGTGAAAATATAAATATGTCTGAAATAAATGTGAAATGAATACAAACGATTTCTGAAGAGTTTATTTGAAAGATTTATGATTTTGATAATCTTGACATTGAAAGTGGTTGAAAAACTTTACATTATTGAAATATTAACAGATTTGCTTCAGATGGTATAATTACTTTACACATTAAAATATAAATATATCTAAAATAAATGTGAAATGAATACTAACGATTTATAAAGAGTTTATTTGAAAGATTTATGATTTTGAGAATCTTGACATGAAAAATATCTTTTCAATAAATCTGCATTATTAAGATAAAAACAATATTATGTCGCATGATTTAATTAATACTACTTTTGAAATATCTTAAATAAATTTGGTAAGTAAATTTTAAATGAATGCAAACTCTTTAAGAATAATTTATTGGAAAGATTTAAGATTTTGAGAATCCTAAAATTAAAAAAAAACTTTACATTATTTAAAACCCTTACATTATTAAGATGTAAACAATATCAGGTCACATGATATAATTAATACTGCCTTACACGCAACTATAAATGAATACTAACACTTTAAAAATAGTTAATATGAAAGATTTATAATTTTTAAAATTTTAGAAGAAAAAAATTTTTATTTGGAAAATTTTGTATTATTAAGAGGACTGTAAAGTTATTAAACTTACAACAATTTTACGTCATATGAATAAATAAGGCTATTTTACACGTAAAAACACAACATCTGAAATGTGATAGGATAGTGAAATGAATATTAGAGATTTAAAACGAGGTTTTTTAGATGACTTTTAGTTTTCCAAGCAAACTTATGAAGATTTCTTTTGTTTCCTATAAAAATATTCCAGCGAAACCAAATGGTCATAATACATAATGGAACAAAAAATAACAAAACAAAGTACAGATAAAGATTTTAGTGAAAAAAGAAAACATTTGACTACAGGTTAACAATACAAGAAAACATTTGACAACAATCAAAAGATTCCGAAATAACTGATGAGAATCGTAAAAAAAGAACTTTAAAATAAAGAATGTTATTAAAATTAGTGAAGTGTTTAAAAAATAAAATATATAATTCGATTTTTTTTTAAAAACTCAGAAAAACTCTATAAGGCCATGCGTTATTTTAGTTTTAAATTAAATATCTTTTGCATGTTTTGTTTAATCATCATCATCATTTTAATGAAAATATAATGCTATAAATAGCTCTAAATATTGAAACTTTAGTTAAAAGCATGTGTTACTCACCCTGTTTGTTTAAAATTGACTAGCTTGAAAGATCTTGTATTTTCATAAATAAAAATTTAGACTTAATTTATAAAACAATAATTTTAAGAAGAATTAAGCCTAAAAATAAAAACAGTGCAACAACAGTAGCAATATTAATAAAAGCTCATACAGGTTATCCCCAAAACATCGACAATTTGAAAAATTTAAATAAAGATGCAGGGCTCGAGGCATTCGCTATAATAAATCACGTATTTAATTACCATGTTTAAGTTAAACCACGTATTCTTCCCTACTTTTAAACTTAGTAACAAAGCTTGTCCACAGGTGACACTGCTAACTGTAAAAACTATCAAACAATGTTTTCAAAATAAATAGCGTTCGCAGAAGCATCGTGGTGCAGTCTGAGAACAAAATTTTACAGTTCAGTTCAAGTGGAATGGTCTGAAATGCATCAGAAAACATTGTTTAATATTATTTTCTGTCAGAAACGCCATCTGTTGTTGTAATTGGTAACTGATTTCGAAACTATTTGAGAATAAGATTTGTTTCCTAAGTAAAATGGTAGAAGCTGTTCCCTTCTATTTTCGTCCGTTTTTTTCGAATTGTTTTATCAATTTTTCAAATTGTTGATCATATTTGGGAAACACGGTATGATGTTCCCGGCGAGAAGAGCTGCAGATTTTGTCTCAATATTACATTTTTGTTAATAGATAGTAACATGGTGAGTATTCAATGCCAGGGTTTTGCAGATTCTGAAAAGGATTAAGGAAGCGAACGGTTTGATATGCTAAACGAAAAATAGGGCCACAGAGAGATTGATAAGGTGTAAAGCGTTCACTGCGAGTTCAATGTTATGTTTGTTTCCATAACTTTGAGGATGAAACACAATAGAAAGCTCTGCAAAAATCAAATGCTGCCAGCGATTAAATAACGATAAATGTGAATTTTATCTATTTGTGAAGAAATCTCAGTTCTTTTGTTATACTCTGCAGAAAGGAGCGACCATTTTATATACAATGAAAATTAATGCTCTGTTTTTAGTATTAAAGCATGAAAATTGACAAAGTTAGTGAGTTATTAATGAATCTGTAAATGAGTTTTAATTCTGTACACTTAAAATTGATGACTTTCTGAATCTTTCTTGAATTTCCTCTAAAGTTTTTCCTTTAGTCTCAGGCAACCAGAAATATGTGAAAAATATACTAATTACACATATAACGGAATATGAAAAATACACTCCGAAATCATGTAATAATTGTTCTTCTGCATGGTAAAGTTTAGTCACCATAAACACAAAACACCAATTTAGAGTTGTTGCAGAACCACTAATTACTCCTCGAAATCGCGCAGATGTCATTTCTGCAACCATTAACCACGGAGCAGGACCAAATCCAAGCGAAAAAGCTGCTATAAATGACATTAGACATAATAAAGGCACCCAACCGTATTTTAAAACAATTGTTTCATCCTCATACTTAGCAAAGCTAAATCCGCCAAATATGATTAGACTTATTGCCATGAAAACACTTGAAGTCATGAGCAATATTTTTCTACCAGCTTTGTCCATTAAAAGACTGGCAGCTAGAGTAGCAATTACTTGTACAACTGCAACGACAATAGTAGCTTGTATGGAATCCATGCTACTTTTGGCGTTTTCAAATATTTTCGCACAATAAAACATAATTGCATTGACGCCACTGAATTGTTGGAAAAACATGAGGAGAACTGAATAAATTAAAGGCTTATAAAATTCAGGGTAAGCTAATTCCTTCAGTTGAACACTGGATTTAGGTTGTGATTTGATTTCTTCCTCCATATTATATAATTCACCTTCTGTGTCAAATTCCTTACCTTGCAAAAATATTATGGCTTTCTTAGCTTCATTGCGTTTTTCTTTTGAAATTAACCATTTTGGGGATTCGGGCATTGGCACCATTAAAGCAGCAGCCACTAAACATGTAATAGCTGAAGCTACGGCTGAATGTCTCCATGTTAAGACAGATCCCAATCCGGCAATGAATAGAACTCCAGTAACAACAAATAGCTGAAAACTTGATCCAAGAAGACCTCGAACTTCGGGAGTAGAAATTTCTACTAAATACATTGGTGTAGCTACAGATATGACTCCTGTACAGAAACCTGTTACGATACGTGCGGCATATATCATTCCTAGAGTATCAGCATACGCTATCATACACCATCCAGCTACGGAAGGAATGGTGTTAAACATAAGGGTTCCTTTTCTTCCCAAGTAATTTGTAAGGAAACCTGCAAAGGTAAGTTATGTATATTAAAACTGTTTGTTTAATTCAAACATGCTATATAACAATGTAATGATCAATTATCTTACAACAAAAAATTTTATTTCAAAACTAAAACGTAAAAATGCTCCGAGAAAATAAGCATAACAAGTTTTTTGGTCCAAGTTGTTTGGACAAGCTTTTTTTTGTCGTGTGTCATACGCATATGTATCTAAGATTACATTTGAAAAGCACCAGATTAATTACTTTGTACTTTTTTTATTCAACTGACATTTAAATTCTCACTAACTAATCTAGTTACTTTAAACGCAGTTATTGTGGAGACTTCATTTTTTTTCTTCAAGAAATCAGCTTAATTGTCATCTCACCACCCTTAAAGTATGAAAAAATTTCAATTTGAACTAGTTGTCACTCTTTGTACCCATAAAATAACGGACTTCTAAAAAGATATAAAAAATTAAACATTAGTAAATGCCTTTTAAATTAGTACGTGTCACCAGTGCATTAGTACCAATAGAGAAAAACTCCAAAACCAAGTTTTTGTACCCTAATCAAAGGTGTCCCTTTTTCAGAGGATACTTAAAAACGAATATAGTGCAATTTAATATGAAAATTTAGGTTGAATTAAGATTAAAATAAATTGCATGTCAATAAATGAGATATTCACAGATGGTTATTTAAAAAAATTTAAAAATTATAGTTCCTGAAAAGGTTTATTTTTTAAGAAATGCATGAAATGAACAATTGATTTTTTACGAACAGAAACTTATTTTAATAATCTGTTGCACGAATTCGTTTAAATATTGTTAATATCGTTAAAAATGTACACACAAGCACTTATATTTGATTATTTTGTTCGAATTTGTTCCCTATCAGTCAAATCAACATTTCATTTTTGTTTTATTTGTTTTATTTTTGTAATTTCCCTGCGTTTCAACACCGAGGTATTTTCTTCCTCATAGAACAGAAATTAATACATAGCTTTTCATGCTACATTATTTATGCCATTTTAATTTTTTTAGCTTTTTCACATGAATAAAAACATTAATTCTATTTTCTCCTTGATAGCAAAAAGCATTTAAATATTTATTTTGTGTTTCTCTACATCCATCTAACATTGTGAAATTTATCAGTCCCCTTAAATAAAATGTCCCTAATTAAGAAATAAATACCGTAAGATTCCTATGAATAGGGGCCCTATTCATAGGAACCAGGACAAACAGATTTGTCCCTTAACTAAAGAGGATTTCTTATTTAGAGGTGCACTGAGAAAAAAAAAGTATAGCCAAAACTGACAAAATACGGTCGAATTTACCACGTTTCAATTCCACTAGAGAATGGCATAAAGAACATTTATTCTGTTAAATTTACTTTTTGATTTGTTTACAGTTTTGTTTTTTTACTAAATGTGTTTACCACACATTTAGTAAAAAGAGCTATAATCTTTAAAAACTAGAATTTCCAGTATACCGTTACCATAAGAACGGAAAAATTACCAAATGATTGGTTTAAATATCGTACATTTTGGTTTTATTAACCAGAATTACATTTTTTTTACCAGAGATGTCATTACCATGCAGTACGATAATTTTACCAGAATTTTTTTCTCCGTGTCCTTACAGGAGGTACTATTGTAATAATAAAGAAAATTATTATATTGGTGGTACTTGCCAGAAATCTCCAGGAAGCATTTATTCCATGTGATATATGCTAATTTTTAATCTTCAAATGATGAAAATTATCCCATGAATTACCTAAATCTTCAAATGACGAAAATTATCTCATGAATTACCCAAATCTTCAAATGATGAAAATTATCCCATGAATTACCCAAATCTTCAAATGATGAAAATTTTCCCATGAATTACCCAAATCTTCAAATGATGAAAATTATCCCATGAATTACCTAAATCTTCAAATGATGAAAATAGGTCTTTTAAGGACGGATTCACAAATAGTATTATTTTCTATGTGTTTAAAGATTAGCAAGTTATAACACGTTTTGACGGCAATTGTGCCCAAACTTCCATAAGAGGGACATTTTTCTGGAGATATATATTAAATTATATTATTAATTTTCTTTTTCAATTTAAAAAAAAAAAACTAAAAACAAGAAAATTCAAAACCTAAACCCCAAACACATGGTCCCAAGTTTAGTCGGAAGAGCGGCTATCATTTTTAAGTTTTGAATACCAGAGTTAATTTTAAACTAATGAATATTGAAATTAATTTAAATATACAAAAATCACCAATTACTATTTAGATTAATGTATTCAGGACGCAGAATCTGAAAAATTTCTTTAATTTTTTTAAGTAGTAAATAATAATGATACTCTCTTCAAAAAGGATAAAAGATTTATGATTTTATCTCAGTTAGAACTTGCAATGAGACTTATTTTCGCCCCCAACTCTAAGTATTTAACTACAAATCATGCTGAAACCTTTCCACTATCAATTTTTCATGTTTTTTTTTAAACTTTTAAACAATATATGTCAATAAAAAACCGTTTATGTATTTCAGACGTGTTATTTTTATTTGTCTTGAAGAAATTAAAATATGTAGAATTCGATTTATTATAAATTTAAAAAAATACTAATTGTTGCAACGGCACAACGATGCAACAATTGTTTTTGTTTTATATTTTGTTTCAAAATTTTATTGACGTAGTCATTGTTAAAATTGATGAACTAGGGGCATTATAATAATTAATCACATTTTCAAGATAATTAAAAGAGCATTTTTGATTGAAGTACCACGATTTTTCCATAAACAATAAGATGCTTTGGTATATTATGCTATTACATGATGGTAATTTCTTAAAATTCTGAAGTTTACATTTTGAAATAATACTAAAAAAATAAAGAAAGAACATGACCTTTGAAAATAGTGTGGCTTATCATTATATTGCCACACATATGTAATAAAAAAAGAACCTCATATGATACAAAATGTGTACTTACATAAGTTACCTCCTTGATGCTGAATTTTTTAAACATATTTTTCATATTTCATACATTATTTGTATTAGTTTAGGTCAAAATGCGTTAAGCATATTGTATTTAGCATTTTTTTAATTTATGGTTATGAAATACAGCATTAAAACACCTTCTATTTTTCTGCGTTAAAGGTAAAATCTTCCAGGCACGGCTCGCCTAAAAACAATAATTTTTCAAATTTGCACTTATTTGTAACTATTTAGATCTAAGAGAAACAGTTATTTATCATTGAAATTTTTTAAAGTCACATAATCAATTATTGATACAGTTTAGAACAGTGTTTCTTAACCTTTTTGATATAATGGACCCCTTTTAAAAATTTTTAAGAAGTCACGGACCACCCCCCTGTGAAAAAAATAATTTTAAAAAACATCAATTATTAGAAAACATTTAATTTTATTATTTTAATAGTATACAAAATTTTTAAAATTAAAATTTTTAATGTGAAGGTTTCTGCTGCTTTTCCTTAATTAATAAATTGAATTAGAGGATGGTTTTCGACAAAGCAACGTGCATATCATGTTCAACATTCAATTGATTTGGATGTTTTTATTGTCACAAGTGTGGAAAATCCCTCTTTGCAAAGATACACTGTAGCAAACGGAATTATAGCTGCCATAGCTCGCTTTACAAGCAATTTGTAGGCTTCCAAACGTTTTAAAAATTAGGAGTAGTTAGCGGACCCCCAAAATATAACTCATGGACCCCTTAGGGGTTCATGAACCACAGGTTAAGAAACCCTGGTTTAGAATATGAATGGACAAAAAAAATTCAAACTACTTCTTTGAATTTAATACTTTAGTGCAGAAATAATTTCGATAATCTAAAAGATTTTTTTAATAACTATTAAACTGTTTTTTTATCATTAAAAAATACCAAAATATATTTTCGCTTGTAATTAGAGAGTCAGAAAATATATAAATCAAAGGGACACCGGTGTCCCATCTGCACCAAAGGGTTAAATTGATTGTTTTATTTGTAAAAAAGTATTAACTTACTTGCAGCAAATCCACCAAGTAATGCTCCAGTTGCCATTAAGCTACCAATTTTTTAATTAAAAAATACCAAAATATATTTTTACTTGTAATTAGAGAGTCAGAAAATATATAAATAAAAGGGACACCGGTGTCCCATCTGCACCAAAGGGTTAAATTGATTGTTTTATTTGTAAAAAAGTATTAACTTACTTGCAGCAAATCCACCAAGTAATGCTCCAGTTGCCATTAAGCTACCAATTTTTTAATTAAAAAATACCAAAATATATTTTTGCTTGTAATTAGAGAGTCAGAAAATATATAAATAAAAGGGACACCGGTGTCCCATCTGCACCAAAGGGTTAAATTGATTGTTTTATTTGTAAAAAAGTATTAACTTACTTGCAGCAAATCCACCAAGTAATGCTCCAGTTGCCATTAAGCTACCAATTTTTTAATTAAAAAATACCAAAATATATTTTTGCTTGTAATTAGAGAGTCAGAAAATATATAAATAAAAGGGACACCGGTGTCCCATCTGCACCAAAGGGTTAAATTGATTGTTTTATTTGTGAAAAAGTATTAACTTACTTGCAGCAAATCCACCAAGTAATGCTCCAGTTGCCATTAAGCTACCAATTTTTTAATTAAAAAATACCAAAATATATTTTTACTTGTAATTAGAGAGTCAGAAAATATATAAATAAAAGGGACACCGGTGTCCCATCTGCACCAAAGGGTTAAATTGATTGTTTTATTTGTGAAAAAGTATTAACTTACTTGCAGCAAATCCACCAAATAATGCCCCAATTGCCATTAAACTACCAATCCAGGATATTTCTTCGTCATCTGGTTTAATAGTACTATGTGGCTTTCCCATATCCACAGTTGCTGTTGCAGAGTATGTTGCCGTCATGCCCATACATACAGCAAATAATAAAACAACAAATGCTGCCAGATACATTTTCCTTATGTGTAGAAGAGCGATTGGTTCTTCTATACATTTTTCAGATTCAGTAGTATCTACAAAATTCTGTAAATTCTTGTTACTTTTACTTTCTGGTAAATCACTAATTGGATTTTTTACCCAAGTGAGATCTTTCTCGACATTGACACTTACAACTTTGCTCAGTTGTAACTCTGAATCTTCAAAGGCATCATTTACGTATTCAGTTATTGAGTTATCGCTTGTAGAAGAAGTTGTCCGTTCCTTTACTGGATCTGTATGTCTTCGATCCATTTTTTAAGTTTTGAGTTCGTTTTAATTCGGTTAGGTCTTATCCTTATTAGATATCGCAAATTAACTGAACTATGTGAGTTGTTTTTGTTAATCAGATGAATCTCATGAATTCGAAGAGTGAATTTGATAAGAGACGCAAATTAGATGAAACTTGTTAATCAGGTGCAATTTACAAATCAGGTGCAAACAACGGTAAAAGAAAATTTTCAGAATCAACCTGTATCCCACGTTTAACTAAATTGAGCTGTTTTTCTACTTATGATTTTATTACTTCGTGATTTGAAATGAAAAAAAAAACAGAAAACAGCATGATTGTAAAAGGTCACGCTATCAAAAAATATCTGATATAAACCTTTTGTGTCAATGAGAATGAAATTATTTTGTTGTTTTTATTTTTTTCGATACGAGTACAATTGATCTGCCCACTTAAAAAATTACTGTCAGCTTTTGCTAAGAGAAAAAAAGGTTATTGTTAAATGGAATCCCTGATTAACGCAAAAACAAATTTATTTTCGACCTTAAAATAATGCCTTAACTCTAAGATCTTATCATATTTTACTTTTATCAATTTATCAATTGATTGTTTTATAGGTGAATGTTACGCCATTACTTTTTTTTGACGTAAAATATGTCATTCAAATATTTCTATGAATTGATTTTAAATGTGTTAAAAAGTACACGTTTTTTACATTTGCATGTTAGAAATTCATTTTTGTTCAAAACGTATCATTAAAGGTATTTACTGACACGAAATTTTAGGTGTTCTTGTCCTTCATTTACGCACGACAACAAACAATTTTGTTTAGTGAAAATGAAATTTACTATTAATTTCCAACTGTAGTATGTGACTAAAAACAAGCTTGAGCCACTGTGACCAAGGCGATAAAGCTTTCTCCCCCTAATGAGTTCACCCAAGTTCGAATCCCAACCGTGGCTGGTTAATACGAACTCTGCTCCCGGTTAGCACCGGCTACAGTGCGGACGTAAAATATTCTCAGTAGTAGACGAATTATGGGATGGAATCATGGATTGGAATCACTTTGGGGTCGAAAAACAGTGGGAGGTTTTCGTGTTTTTCCTTCCATGTAACGCAAATGCCTCTTAGTTTCATTAAAAAGTACTCCGCGAAGGCAAAATTCCAATACTTGATCCAGGAGTTCCTTTGTCTTCTGGATTAGGCTCAAAATTACAAGGATACGGAGTTGAACTAGTTTGTCCAATACCAGAACCAGGAGTTCCATTGTTTCCTTTACTTACTATGTTAAGTGTTGTTATGAATTATGAATAAATTAAGTTAAATAATTTGTTTAGAAAAATAAATATTTAAGAACTTAAATAAAATGTGTAATTTTTTTAACATGTATTGTATAATTTTTTTATACTATTTTAATAAGTAAGACAAAAATAATATTTTTGTTCTAATATTTTGAAAGATAACTACTAAATAGTTTCAAATTGTCTAATTTATTTTAAAAGAATTTGTCCAACAAAGAATAAAAAAGTACTGAAAAGGGCGGTAATAAAATTTTTCTTTGTCACAATTAAAATTAAAATTATTTACGGAACAAAACATACGTAAATAATGCGCCAAGGTTGGTCTCGTGACAGTCAAAAGTATGTAGATTAAATTTATTGATAACACAGGGGCACAAAGTTTAACTTTTTTGTTGTATTTATACAAATGTAAGTACTTGAGCCGCGATAGCTCAGGGGATAGAGCGTTCGCCTCCCAATGAGGCCAACCGGGTTCGAATCCCAGTCGATACGAATTCCGCATCAGGCTTGCACCGATCAAAGTGCTGATGTAAAATATTCTCAGTGGCAGACAGATCATGAGTTAGAGTCCCCTTGCCATCAGGCTAACCGTGGGAGGTTCTCGTGGAGGTCCTTCCTCAAACGCCAAAGTAACAAGGCTACGGAGTTGAACATTAGTAGTCGTAAACCCATAAAAATTGGGTCAGCTGTTCAACTCTGGTTATAAAATAATATTAAAAAAATACAAATACTTGACTCCCCGTGTAGTAAATGGTGACTGGTGCACGTTAAATCTGTCGAGTCGCAAAGTCTTCCATGTTCCCATAACAAATCCATATTTCTGGGGGGTACTGATCCAGGAGTTTCCTTGTCTTCTGGATTGGTTAAAAATTACGAGGCTACGGAATTAAACATTAGTAGTCGTAAACCCAAAATTAGGTCAACTGTTCAACGATGGATATGAAATAAAATAAAAAACTTGATCTTGAGCAGAAATGGCTCAGGGGAGAGAGCGTTCGCCTCCCAAAGAGGTAAATCGGGTTCCACTCCCAGTGACAGCTGGGATTCGAATTTCAACCCAGGGTTGCGCCGACTACAGTGCTGATATAAATATCCTCAGTGGTAGACGGATCATGAGTTAGAGTCCCCTTGATGTCAGGCTAACCATGAGAGGATTTTCGTGGTTTTCCTCACTATGTAATGCAAATGTAAGTTAGTTCCATCAAAAAGTCCTCCATGAAGATTTCCCCCAATACTTGATCCAGTAGTTCCCTTGTCTTCTGGATTGGATTCAAAATTACAAGGCTACAAATTTGAACATTGGTTGTCATAAACTCAAAATTGGGTCCGCTCTTCAATGCTGGTTACAAAATAAAATAAAAATACTTGATCGTGCCAAAAATACTCAGGATAAAAATACTTGATCAGGAACAGGATAAAAATACTTGATCATGCTTAATTCGCGTGTGGGGATTTTAAATCTAAAATAAGTTTTGCTACAGTTTTTTTAATGACACTTTAAGTCTTTTTTTTTTATCGAAGTGCGTAAATTTAAAAACATTGTATAAAACATGGCGTCGTGTAAATGTTGCGTCAAACTTTTGGGGGAGTTAAGGATTCATCACCAGGATTAAAATTGCATAGTAACCCATACCCGGAAATGGCTTAACATGGAGCTAAAGCTGCATTCCTATTATGACAGTTTAGAATAGGAAAGCGTATGATGCCATTTACTGGCATGGCTTTCCATGCAAATTTAATCCTGATGATATTCCTAAACACTTCTAGAAGTTTTTAACAACATTAGTGCTACTCCCTGTTGTATATAACATTTTTAAATTTTATTTTATTTTTATAACCTTCGTTGAACAACCGACCCAATTTTATGGGCTTGCGACTACTAATAACAAGCTCAAGCTCGTCCCGCCCCCGTAAGGGGGCATTCGGGGCAGGGCTAAAGAGAATANTTTGCGCCAAAGTGACGTCACTAGAGTGACGTCGGAGGATCGGCGCGGCAAGAGATACTTCAAAGGAATGAACCAGCCCTTCTATTCTCTTTAGCCCTGATTCGGGGGCACTCGAAAGTTCAAAGTGAGCGTAACAGTTCAATTACATGAGCAAACATATTCAAAATTTCAAATTTGAGTTTTAGCAAATAGGTAGAATAGTAAATATGAAATCCAGAAAACAGTGCTACTTAGAAACAAACTAAATGCAAACAAACATTAGAAAGAAAATAAACAGTAACAATCAGAAGAGATATTGATGTCGCATCTTCAGTAGGGGTGCAAAGTTAATGAAAGGAAACAATTTCACATGGAAAATATAGGATGTTTGTAACTCAGAATATAATTACAGCTGGCACAACAGTACTAAAGGTATCAAATTCCAGGAATTTTTTTTAAAATACAAAAGGAATTTTCATATATCCAGGAATTTTCATATATATAAACTCTGGGAACACAAGCGATTAAAATTTTCAAAATGAGGAATCACATAGGGGCAGAGATTGACAAAAGCATGAAACTAAGGCACAAAAAACATTTTAAGAGAAAATTTTACGACTACTAATGTTCAACTCCGTTGCCTTGTAATTTTGAGCCCAAACCAGAAGACAAGGGAACTCCTGGATCGAGTATTGGGAGAAATTTGCATTTGTGGAGGACTTTTTGATGGAGCTAACCTTCATTTGCGTTACACGGAGAGGAAGATCACGGGAACATCTCACTGTTAGCCTGGCGGCAAGGGGACTCTAACCCATGAACAGTCTACCACTGAGGATATTTCACGTCAACACTGTGGTCGATGCAAGTTGGATGCGGAATTCATATCGACTGGGATTCGACCCCGGTTCGCCTCATTGGAATGCGAACGCTCTATCCTCTGAGCCATCGCGGCTCACATTTTTAAATTTGTACATTTCGACAAAAATAGTTTTTAAAAAAATGGCATTTAAAGAAAACTGTAGGTAGTAGAAAGAAACCAATTGCACATTTGAAATCAGCTATACGATTGCATGTGAGATCTGTCAAAAAAATCTCATGCAACAGAAAACAAAATATATTTGTTGCTAACTGTGATTGATATTTAAAAAAATATTTCATAAATCATTCAAAATTTTGATCGAAAAGGCTACCCCACACAGAATCGGAACCGAATTAGGTATAACGTGGCAATAATATTGAGTGCGAATAAATATACTTGAAAGAAATGAAGATTTTTAAAAAAAAAAGTTATTTACATAGTATTTGCAATGTAAATTTTCCTATCGTTAAGGATTGTTTTATTTTTATTACTGTTATTTTATTTTTATTTGTTAAAGATGGATATTTTTAATCTTTTTTTCTGTGAAAAGGCTTGTCTTCGAGATGCAAAAATTCATTTTCAAAATTAAATAACAGAAACTAAAAACATGAGGAGCAAATTTTTTTCGAAAAACTCTGGATAACTTTGAATGGTGATAGAAGTATATTTCAGAAGGGCACTGAGAAAAAAAGTATAGTCAAAACTACCAGAATATGGTAACATTGACCGTGTTTCTGGCTGTATGAGAACACCAAGAAGAACAATAATTTTAACGAGTCATAGTGACTCAAGGGATAGAGCTTTCGCCTTCCAATGAGGTGAACCAGGCTCGAATCCCAGCGATAGCTGGTCGAGACGAATTCCGCACCCGGCTCGCACTGACCACAGTGCTGACTTAAAATATCCTCAGTGGTAGACGGATCATGGGTTAGAGTCCCCTTGCCATCAGGCTAACTGAGGGAGGCTTTCGTGGTTTTCATCTTCATGTAACGTAAATGCGGGTTTAGTTCCCCCAAAATGTCTTCCACGAAGTCAAATTTGACCAATACTTGATCCAGGAATTTCCTTTTCTTCTGGATTGGGTTCAAAATTACAAGGCTACGGATTTGAACATAGTAGCCGTAAACCCAAAATTGGGTCAACTGTTGGACGTTAAAAAATAATTAGCCATTGAAATATAATTTTTACATTTGGTGAAATCAACATTAAAATATGGTTTTATAATATGTGACAAAATTTGGTAAAATTTATACACCTTATATGATATAATACCTTAGCGCATGGTATAAAACCATTTATTCGGTTTAACTTACTTTTCAGTTTGTTTTTTTTTCAACTAAATGTATGG